GAGCCACGGGCCGCCCCCAACAGAGGTTAACTTTGCTATTACTATATGGCAAGTGCATCTCCAAAATTAGGATTCTGTATAAAGAGGAAGTCAAAGGCACTGTAAGCAACAAATACTCTTTCTTTCTCATGTGCACATAGGCTACTTTTGCAGATCTCATTTAAGCGATGCCAGAAGTAAAAAGTTTATTAAAGCATGTAGATGAAATAAAAACGTTTTATGATGTTCTGGGGAACCAGGTTTTAGGTTTGTTTTTATGCTTAATTGTGTTGTCAACTTTTTACGGTGTTATTATTATTTTGTTATTATTTTTTTTTTTGGTGGCTGGCTGGTAAGGGGATCCGAACCCTTGACCTGGGAATTGTATGTAATTATTTTATATTTGTGTAGTAATGAGGAATTTGAGCGATGGTAAAAGAATTAGCTCTAACATTTAAACTGGAACACTGACCATAAACCAGGAGAAATGACCTGTGTTTTTGTAGTATGAAAACATCTGGAAGGAAGCAGTTCAAGAGTCTTTACAATGCACTGCAGTTGAAGGAAAGGGTACTTCCAAAAATAAACAAGATTTTAACTTTAAATCTCATTGCATCCCCAAAGAGACTGAATTTCTCTAGGTGATAATCTAAGTTTGAATAATGTTAGGGCTTTTCATTTTCCATACGCATTTTATAAAGAAAACATTTTGTCTGCAAAAGACCTTGGTAGGAAAGGTGTAAAATGCCACAAAAGCTGTAGCCCACCTGTCCAAAAGCATTTATTTATTACAGTTAGAAGAAAGGTGAGGACAAGGGAAAGGGTTGAGGTGGAGGAGAAGAATAAGTGAAAAAAAAAATTGGCAAAAGGGACACTGGTGAGATATTTGCTACTGTGTTCTTTTGTTTGTGTTATATTTTTTGATACTTGAGACAAATGTTTTTGTATTTTTTGAGGGCTGGCTGGTGCAGGGATCCAAACCAATGACCTTGGTGTAATAAGGCTGTGCTCTAACCAGCTGAGCTAACTGGCTAGCTCAGGTCATTTTAACCTCCAATTAATAACTTGATTTAGGCCTTCCACTGTTTGGAGTATGTTTATATACTTTTGCCTTAACCCCCTTCCAAATGTGTGTGTGGGTGTGTGTGTCAAATGAGTTTATTGCCAAAAATTAAATGGCTGATATTTAGGAGGGGATTTATTTTCATTTTTGATTCAGTTCCTGAAGTGTTAGTCTGAGAGTGTGATTATATCTAACCAGTGAATGATTTTACCTCATTAGTAACTAAAGGATTTAGTTTTTATGGTAATTAAAAATTTTCTTTTGAGAATTTTTGGAAGAATAACATGATTAGTCTAAGAAGCTCTTTAATAATAGAACTTTAGAAATAACTAAGGATTTGATAAAAGAAATAACCTAATATGGTCATGTTACTGAAAAAATTAGAGAATAATACTCCACGTTTACTGTACTTTACGTTTGTTTTAAAAATTACCTTTCTCATTGCAGGTAATTCCTTACAAGCAAGGGGAATTGCGTTTTAATTGTTATTCCTTTCCTTGTGGTAGCCAGAGGCTATCAACCCCAGATAAAAGCTGTTTTTGTTGAAACAGTTGAATGAATACCCCTTAAATATTGCTCAGTTTCAACTCTCAAACATTTCAAGTTAAGACATATTTCAAGTGTTAGAAAATATTACAAAATCTTAAGAATGAGAGGGGATACTCAACTGCAGCAGCACAACTGATGTGTAAGGTGCGCTACAGGCATCCTCTGTGACTCCAGTGGACAGAAGAAAGGAGCAGTTCAGTTTGAGAACAATTGTGTGCTCATAGTAGAATTTCACAGATAGTTGGAGGGAACAGACTTTATCTGCAAGGAATTGTAACTTTTTAAAAATTGCTCAAGATTGGATTATATTTTTAATGTCATCTCTTTTGGCAAGTTCAATTATTATAGCTGAGACAAGTTTAATAATACACTACTAGGCCGTACTTTCTTTTCTTTCAAGCTTTTTCAAGATGCTAAAGATAATAAGGGACTAGATTAGCAGCATTGCAATGTAATTTTGTTCTATGTTACAATAGCAGGAGAGCTTTTTATCTATAATCATTGACTGTTTCTTTGCTGTAGTTCTCCAAGACATAAACTGAATTGCATTTAAAGAAAGAAAGTTGGAAGAAAGTACTGCTTCTTGTCTAAAAGACAGAGAGAGAGAGAAGGGAAACATAATTTTGACAAATATTGAGACATTCAAACACCAGTGTAGTGGAAGAACCTTTGCAAAATAAAAGTCAGCAAATACCTTGTACAAAACCAATAAAATATTATGTGCCTTAATACTCTTTAAACATGGTGTAATCACCTGAGGTTAACATATTTTTAGTTTTTCGTTCCTTTGAACATTTTTCAGCTCTTGACAACTAGTTTCTTAATATCCCAATTATTAAAAAGGAACTAGGATATTTCCTTAGCAGTTCTCAATACTGCTTTAAAATTTTTAGAAGGGGAAGTTAGCATGTAGGGAATTATGCTAGAATCTTTATATAATTTACCACAACCTTATGAAGTAGCTACTGTCACCTTCATTTTACATGGGAGTGACTAATCTAGAGCTCAGCAGGGCTGTTGTTCTTCCTCAAAAGCATTTTACTTGCATTGTCTCATTTGATCCTTACAACAAATTTATACCTGTTTCTGTTTTACAGATGGCCTCACTGAGGGCCAGAGCGATAAAGTGACTTGCCCAAGGTCATTTTTGAGTAGTTTTAGGAATAGTGAGATTTGAGAGAGGTGTGAGATTTACTTTGGAATTTTGTTTATGCTTAAGACATTCTTAATGATACTTTATTGGAGTTACTCACTGATTGGAATTATCCAGTGACAGTTGAATAGATGAGTAATCTGTAACATGGATGGAATGAGACAACAGGTTGGCTCAAACTGAAAGTGAATAAAACCTTCTTAGATACAGAGAGACTACAACTTTCACTCTAGTAATCTAGTTTAATAAAGGGTATATACATAAAGATATTTATTGCAGTGTTACTTTTAATAGTTAAAAATTAGAATCATTCTGGAGCAAGAAATGGTTAAATACATTGATCTATCTACTTGATGAAGCATTATATAGCCAATATTATAAATAGAAACACAATAACACGGAAAATATTAAATGTGCTAAGGGGAACAAAGCAGAGTACAACTTGTCATGTTTACATCAGTTACAATCATGTACAAAATGATGTAGAAATGGGTGAAAATTGGAAGAGAACATGAGTAAGTGAAAAGTTTGAGTAGTGAGATTATGGTGAACTTTTATATAGTACTTTATCAGTGCTGTCATGTTACTTGTGTAGTAAAAAAATTGAACAATGAGAGGATATTTCAGTAGAGCCAAAATAAATATATTGTGAACAGATCCAACAGACTTTTTACATATACAATATATTATATGGATACCTAAAAGAAACATTTTCTTGGAAATAATTAGAAAAAGTACAATTTCCAAAATATTTTCTTTCAGCAAATTATTTTCTTGAAAAGGAAGTTAAGTACATACGAACTAATAATAGAATCTTGGACTTCGTAGTTAGAGATACAGATTGCTGTACTAGTTGAACCATTAGCAGTTGCTATAAGATATCATCTCAAGTGACATGGCATAAAAGTGTGTATATTCTGTATTGTTAGAAACACGTGACTCTTGTGCTTGTATTAAATTAAATCTGCAAACAATTTGGGTAGCATTTTCTATGGCCATTGGACAAGTGGATTCTTAGTTAATTTTGCTGGTTTTGATAAAGGCTAATTTTCAATTACTTATGAATATCTAATGTTGAGATTTTCAGTTTTTATTATGCATGCGCTCAGCCAGTGAGCGGGAACCGGTCACCACATGGGATCCGAACCCTCAGCGGGAGGGCTGCCGCGCTCCCAAGCGGCGCACTCTCCAGTGCGCCACCAGGCCGGCCCCAGAGTTGTGTTTTCACTGCAAATAAATATATTTGGTTAGAAGAGGGGTTACTGATTTTTAAGGCTGCTGTACCGTTTTTAGTGGTAGAGAGTCTTGTGAGAATTTTATTCAGCTAATAAATCTGCATTTTTTTTTTCCTTTTTTTTGGTCTTTTTTTGTGACCGGCAACGGATCGCAACCCTCAGTGTCGCGCCCGTACCGGACCGGGACCGGCAACGGGATCGCAATTCTCGGTCTTGCGCCCACACCTTGCTCAGCCAGTGAGCGGGAACGGTCTGTATGTGGGATCCGAACCCTCGGCGGGAGCGCCGCTGCACTCCCAAGCAGCGCACTGTAGCAGTGCGCCACTGGGCCGGCCCTAATAAATCTGCATTTTAAAAGCCCTCATTTACCAGGAAATCATAGGTTGAACAGTATTTTTCACTGGAGAGCTTTAAGATTAATTCTCCCTGTGATTTTGGTATGGTCCTAACTGGCTGTAGGCTGTAGTAGGTTTGATATGTTCATTGCCACGTGTTTTTTCTTGTCCTTATATGCATGTCTTGGACAGAACAGAAGCACCACTGCTTTCCTCTAGTATTTGGAGTTGTTTTTTTAGCATATAAGAAGCCATGCTTGTGATAGTGTGTTAATACTGTCATGTATTGCTTAATGATGGGGATACATTCTGAGAAATGCATTATTAGGCAGTTTTTGTCATTGTACAAACATCACAGAGTGTACTTAACGCAAACCTAGATGGTACAGCCTACTACACACCTAGGCCATGTGGTCTAGCCTATGGTTCCTAGGCTACAAACTTGTAGAACATGTTACTGTACTGAATGAATACTATAGGCAATTGTAACACAATGATAAATATTTGTGTATCCAAACATACAAAAGGTACAGTAAAAGTACAGTATTATAATCTTATAGGACTGCCATCGTATATGTGGTGTGTCATTGACCAAAACGTCGTTATGCAGCACATTACTGTATTATAATCAGAAACAATGTGTATGGAATGGCATGTGGTTAATGATGATTATTCTTTCATGGCAGTGCTGGGAGAAGGACTGGCCAAGGGAGACAGTGCCTTTCGGGCAGTGCTTTGCTGCATGCAGCTGAAAGGAAAGCTCCAGCCTGTGTCTACCATTCTTGCCAAATCACTGACAGGAGAGTCTCTGGTATGTTGATGAGCTGTCATTTTGAATGCCTGAAAACAGATTTATATTTGACTCCTTAGGTATATTGTGGGGGAAAAAAATAGTGTGTGTTTTTCCTCTTAGTTCTTCCTATCAGAAATGAATGTTATTGAGTATCTTGAGATACTCATTTCTTTAGAACAAACTAATATTTAATTATTGGATTCTTGTAGTTTGTGATAATATATATAACAATTGCAGGTACTTTAAAAAAAATCGAATGTATAAGATAACTAAATGATTTTCTTTAAAGATATAGTTTAACACAGCTTGAAAATAATTTGGGGTTTTAAAATGCTCCTGTGATCTTGAGGGGTTCTTAAATTCTACCATTTATTTCATCTAATGTTTAAATCTAACGGAGTAATAATTACTTCTGTTTCTGAAGATAATGTATAAGTTAATATCTATAAGTACTGATGGAATGATCTAATTCTATTTAGACTTTTGGAGATATATATATATTTAATAACATTTAATTTTCTAGATTTTTTTTTTTGGTTGATATAATTGAAAAGACTACTTTTTGGAACTTTAGAATTGATAATCTGTAGAAATTGGAAGAAAAGAGATATAACTTTTTTTTTTACCAGTTGCTCACTGGTAAAATTTGCTGATACTTTTCAGGATTCATAATGAAAACCAGTGAAAGCAAGAAAAGTATATGTATACTTTGCTGGGCAGCATGAATTACGTATACCTTACTTATTCTTCCGAATTGATATAATTTGTGAAAATCTGGAGCAGAGTTGTGTTTTGTTTTTTTTTTTCCTTTTTGTCTTTTTTACTGGCCGGTAACGGGATCGCAACCCTCGGTGTCGCGCCCGTACCGGGGACCGGCAACGGGATCGCAACCCTCAGTGTTGCGCCCACCCTGCGCTCAGCCAGTGAGCGGGAACCGGTCACCACATGGGATCCGAACCCTCAGCGGGAGGGCTGCCGCGCTCCCAAGCGGCGCACTCTCCAGTGCGCCACCAGGCCGGCCCCAGAGTTGTGTTTTCACTGCAAATAAATATATTTGGTTAGAAGAGGGGTTACTGATTTTTAAGGATTTTTTTGTGCAGTGAATTGTTTAATTAGTTTAGCAGTGTTTTTTGACTTCACCAGATTCACAAATGAAAAAGCTAAAATATATTACTAATATAGTAGAAATTATATAACTATTTAGTTCTAAATAGATGATAAAAAGAATATTTCTTCTTTATCATTAAGATAATTCTGTTCTTAAAGCGCTTTTTTATGTAAGTTAAGCATATTGCAGTTTTACCTGTTGGGTTTTTAAATTTAAAACTAGTAAAAAGTAATTTGCTTTTAAATCTCAAGTGAAATTTGAATTTCAGAAAAATGTGTATTTTCCTTCAGTAACTTTTTTAAATGAGCCATCTTTAAAGCAATCTGATCATTTCACGTGAATCTCTCTGAGTCATGGACAACTGTTATTGCTCACCATTTTGCGCATATAACCCTGTTAGTCTTAGGGGAAAAGGTTTAAAAGTTTTAGGTTTATTTTTCTCTTCACTTGTCCTATCTTGTTATACCGTGATACCTGTTGTGAATATTTTATTGGAATTAATTTTAAACTCTTATGTAAAGTGAATATAGTGTTTTTACGTACCAGACAAGACACACTGTGTAGTTTTTCCTGTTAACCGTGTCAACTTTGCTTGTAGATGTGTAGCTTTGTTATCAATGTTAATAGTAGTGGGGATGAGGGATGAGAATAACATTCTTTTTTACAGATAAACTTTAGAAACGACTGAGGAATTGAACTAAGTTGCCATGATAAAGAATGAATAAACTAATTGATTTTTCTCTTTTTAATTCACCCCTTCAGAATGGGATGGTAACAAAAGATTTGACAAGACTAAAAACACTTCTCACAGAAACAGAGGTAAGGCTATTTCAGTGGATCTCTTTGGAAGAGTTTAACTCAGTCTGGTTAGTAAGTGTTCTGTATTAAAATTTGGAAAATCACTGTGGCATCAGCCAAGAAGGCAAGGCGATAAAGGTGGGGTAATGGGACCTTCTGTCTTCCACTGTAACCAACGTGGTCCTGTCTTTGCAACTTTGCTTCTTCTCATGGCTCCTCTGCACTGCAGGTCATCTGTTCTGTCTCTAATTCTTATTAGTTCTTTTTGGCCAACAGATGGAAAGATGATTGGCAACTTTTAGTTTTTAAGTGGTCTGGCTGTTAGAAAATGCTGTCGCTAAAAATAAGATACTCCTAAAGATTTTTGTATTTTTTTAAAGCAACTGAAGGAAGTCTGTGACTTAAGAACTATTTTTAGGGAATGGGTTTAGGAAACTGAAATAATGTGTATCGTATACGTACAATCAACTGTGTTTCAACAATTAAAAAAAAAATGTGTATCAGGGCAAATAGTGAATGAAAATGCGTTCCAGGGCCGACCCCGTGGTGCACTCGGGAGAGTGCGGCGCTGGGAGCGCAGCGACGCTCCCGCTGCGGGTTCGGATCCTATATAGGGATGGCTGGTGTGCTCGCTGGCTGAGCGCGGTGTGGGCAACACCACACCAAGGGTTGCGATTCCCTTACCAGTCACGAAAAAGACAAAAAAAAAAAAAAATGCGTTCCAGTGAAAGACTTGGAGTAAACACGGAAGACTCAGGGACAACAGTGGCATGTAAAAGCTTTGTAAGTCTCAAATTTCTGTTCTTCAAAAATATTTTTGTTTTGAAGCCCTATTTTAAAAATAGCCATTTTGTCAGCTTTTATAAGTGGCAGCCTGTGTAAAGTGATTGATTAATTGATTGACTTATTTTTCAAGAACTGAGCACCTACTATGTGCTAGGCACTATGCTTGGTGCTAGGGACACAGCACTGAACAAGACACCCATGGGCCTTGTCCTCTGGGAGGATACAGTCTTGGGGAGGAGATAGATAAATAAATTAATTAATTGAACAACCATAGGTGTAATTCACATCGAGGTAGGTAGTATGAGGGAAACGAACAAGTGTTTCTGCTGGAAGAATCACTGGATTGGGTGGTCAGGGACCAAGACAGTTAAGCCAAGAGCTGAGTGTTGGGAAGGTGCTGGTCTCATGACGAGTGAGGTGGAGGGTGCTCCAGACAGGCGAGGGGATGTGCAGAGACCCGGGTGTCCACCTGGACCTCCTGTGGGTCCCGTTCCCATTCAAATGCCATAACATATCCCAGTTCATACCAACAAACAGTCGGTGAAGACAGTTGTTATGGATCACACAGCTGCAAAAAGAAACTACTGCTACTGTTAGGCCTTTTATTTAACTGTCTTTTTCGTTGTCCTATGTTACTTTACTGTGAATTAATGGAGACTATGTAAGCTCTCATTAGCTTCAAAGCCATTCCTCTTCTTGTATATATGTAGTCTTTTTAATTTCTAAGTAACAATACAATTATGTTTTAGACTTTTAAAATGAGAGCGTAAAATAAAATGACCTTCATTTTATTAAGAATTTTGGCTTTGTTCTTCTCTTTTATTGCCTTGACTGAATTACCAACTTTATACCTGATAATCACACACAAATATATAAAAATTTTATTTCTAATATTTATAATCCTGTTACATGTAAGGCCACAAATATTACTGACTCTTACTTTGACTCTACTTTTGAAGAAATGACTCAGATTTTGTTTGTAACTTCTTCTCTATGTAAGCAGAGTAGTATTCTTTTTCTTACTGACTCTTACTTTGACTCTACTTTTGAAGAAATGACTCAGATTTTGTTTGTAACTTCTCTATGTAAGCAGAGTAGTATTCTTTTTCGTCAGTGAACTGATATTGAAAAAAAAATCCATCTAGATAAAGCTAACGAACAATGCTACCCTTATTTATTATTGTACATGGCACATTTAAAAATAGCAACAATTTGTTATTTAAAGATTGGGCTGAGCTGATATTTAACTTGTAAATGCTAGTGGATAAGAATAAAGGCTTGGAACTAAAGGCTGATTCATGAAAACAAAAACAATAAATATTCTTTAGTAAAATTTAACATATCTAATCAATAGATTTGATTGTGAATTTATAGGAGGTCTAGCAGTGTAATCTTTGGCTGTTTTCCCTGAAGGTGTCAGTACTGACCATCATAAACTAATTGAGTTTGCCCTTCTGTCTTGGGGTCTGTGCACATAAAAAGATTGTTTAAAAACAAACAAAACGGGGGGCCGGCCCGGTGGTGCACTGCTACAGTGCGCCGCTTGGGAAGCGCGGCGGCGCTCCCGCCGAGGGTTCGGATCCCACATATGGACCAGCCGCTCACTGGCTGAGCGAGGAGTGGGGGCAGCACCGAGGGTTGCGATCCCATTGCCGGTCCCGGTCCGGTGCGGGCGCGACACTGAAGGTTGCGATCCGTTGCCGGTCACGAAAATAGACAAAAAGACAAAAAAAAAAAAAAAAAACCAAACAAAACGGGCCGAGCCTGTGGCGCACTCGGGAGAGTGCGGCGCTGGGAGCGCAGCAGCGCTCCCGCTGCGCTGCAGGTTCGGATCCTATATAGGGATGATCGGTGTGCTCACTGGCTGAGCGCGGTCCGGCCCGTCACAAAAAAAAGGAGAAAAAAAAAACACCCAAAAACAAAAAAACAAAACACCTTGGAACCTAAAAGCCAGGGTGGCCAAATACTCAGCCAAGCTGGACTTCTGACTTCCCCAGCCCCTCTGGTGAGATGTGCTGTTCGCCCGGTCCCGTCTAGACTGAGAACTGCGGGGTCAGCACATGCGGGCTTTGCCTGATTGCTGATCAGCTCACATGCTGACGTGGGTGTTTTTCTCTTCCAGCAATTAAAATATTTTAGGCTTTATTTTATGGTGAAAGCATTTTATTCCCATTCTTTTACTTGGACATTTGGTAAATTTGTTATGATAAGTTTTAAAGAGGGGGTACTTTAGAATCTTTATACTGGAAGTGAATTTCTAGCTTTTATATTTTTATATACTGTGTAAATGGAATTATATTTTAAGGGTTATGGCACACAGACCTTGCTTATAGAATTTAAAAAGATCTTTTAATTAATTTTTTTGTGTGTGTGAAGCACAGAATACTTGTAATATGAATAATTATTCTGATTAATAAATAGCTTGACTGAGAAACAGTATTCCTATAGAAACAATATTGCAGTGATTTAGTTCTAACCCAACCTAAAAAGTTCAGTTTAATCAACCACATGTAAATTATAGTGATAGTATTGTTTCAGTTATACCCAATTAACATTTGTGACATTCTTTCTATGGTACAAGACATTCCAAATTTCATCTTGAGATACTGTTTCCTTGTTCTGGTTTAGTTTAACATTTACTGAGCACCTGTGCTGTTCAAAGCTCTTGGAAAGCTCAGGTATCTTCGAAAAGCAGTCTGGTGGGCCAGTCAGAGATGCACAGAGCTAATGTGCATGCAGGGCAGCCTGTGGTCAGTAGGTGCTGTAATCCAAATACAAGCAGGGAAAGGATTAACACTCTGCAAGGAAGTCATGGAGGCGGGAGTGTGAGAACTGAGTTTAAAGGATGGGGACAGCTAAGGAAAGACCAAGAGGTGACTTGGTACAGGGTGAGATTGGAAAACAGTCAGTTGATTCAGAGGTGAATGAGACAAGTGGTAATGAGGGCTTTACCTAGGATGATGGTGGTGGGAGTAGAGAGTATGAGAGTATGAGACAGATATGAGAGACATGCTAGAGGCCTGCTTGGGCAAGATTTGGAGAATACTCAGAGCAGGAAAGGAGGGGAATGTTCAATAATGGCTTTCAAAATTTTAGTGTGGCTTTCTTTGGGGAAGAAGAATCTATTAACTTCAGATAAGGAGCACTGGAGCAGGATCAGGTTTGGGGTAAAGTAGATGAATTTTGCTTTGGGCATATTGTGTTTTAATTGCTTAGGTGATCATCCATCCATCCAACATTTACTGAGCACTGAGCATTATGTACCAAGATACTCTGGAAGGTGCATGAATCCAGAATGGCAGGTGCAGACTGTTGACAAGTCTATACATAGCTGACAGTGATCCAGCATGTAAATTGCTACAGAATAGTTAAGAATAAGTGCTATGGTTGGCACTCAGTTGAAACTGAGGGTGTGGAGCTTAGGGTAAAGTTACAGCCAGAAGTGCAGATTGGGAATTTATTTGTGGAAGTTAGAGTGAGTGGATCCCCAGCCTTGGACTCCAGTGTGGGAGAAGGGCTCATCCCAGAGTGAGAAAGGACTTGGTAGGAAGTGCTCCCAGGCCTAGAAGTGGTAGCTCACCACTAGCTATAGGAGAAGAGGCACCTCTGTAGTTGGTCATTTTCTAGGTGTTAAGAAGAAGAGAGTGAAATGAATAAATGGTTGGAAGATGCTACCCTGTGGAGTTCAGGACTGGGGACTTAGACTTCTCTTCTGCTACCAGCTAGTTTTTATGTAAGCGGTCTCTATCAGTTTCCTTAATAAGGGCCTCACAAGTACTTTTTTCCATATTTGATTGTAGTTTAGCATAGAACAAAGAGCAAAAAATATCATTTGCAACAAATGTTATTAAAAATTTCTAAGTATTCAAACCATTAAAAAAAAATTTTTTTTAATTTTTTGGGTGCTGGCTGGTATAGACCTTTTTTTCATTTAATGTTGAAAATGTCCAAATTTTTAATTAAACATCAACTAGTTATTTCTTATTTTAAAAATGTCTTTCATTTGAAAAATTGCAGACAGCAACTAGTAACGTCCTCTCTGGATATCACATGGAAGACTTAGATGACGGTAAGTACCAAACTCTGTAACTTCTGGTAGCTGTGATTTCAGGCTTTGCCTTTTTTATTGATTATTGGGAGGGAAATTTACTGAATTACAGTACATGTAAGTGAAGATGAAGGAGAAAATATCTTTTTTTTTTTTAATCTTTTTGCCACCGGCCAGTACTGAGATCTGAACCCTTGACCTTGGTGTTACCAGCACCACATTCTGTGGAGCGAGCTAACTGGCCAGCTTGTAGGAGAGGATATAAAAGTTTAATTTTAAGAAGTAGGTGTGGATGAAAGCAATTTTTTCCCTGTCACCTTTTCATAGCATAATGGAGTAATGGAGGTAGGAGGTAACTTGGAGGTCATGTAGTTAATCTTCTTGCCTCCATGTAGGACTAAATTTAAACCTTATTCTTAGCAATCCATAGAGGGAGGACTTTTCTTCTCTTTCTATCTGTCCTAGAATAGTACAGTTATTACTCTTTGGAAGTTATGGTCTGTCAACTGAGTTGTTCCTGCCCTAATTAAAGTTCGTGATCTCCTCTCTTCTCTTCTTGCCAGAGGAAAGGGAAGACACCAGCATTCACTGAGTGTATGCTCAATGCCATACTGTGGTAGTGGCTTTCACAAAACATGTAGTGACTTCTCAGAGTCCTTCTCCATCTTTTTGATAGGTGATGAAACTGTTATTTATTAAGTTTTAGTGTTTTCCCTAAAGTCTCACAGCTAGTAACGGATGAAGCACAGCTTTAAACTCAACCTGGCTAAATATCTTTTTTTTTTTCTCTTTGGGGGGAGCACAGTGACTAGTCAGGAAATAGAAAGTGGCTATAAGGTCTTCAAAAACTTGTTGCTGCTCAGCCTCTAGGGCTCTAGGCTTTTCTCTCTTAAGCCTTATTTTTCTTGGCTTATTAGAAACCTCTTATCTAAACGAATCAAAGCTCATTGTATTCAAAAGTAAACAAATGTTATTTTTTAGCTCATCTCAAAATTCAACTTTTTGAACTTTATTTCAGTTATAAAAAAGGATTACATTATACAGTGACTGACAGTGACACGTGTCAGACAAGTCCTAAGGAACGTGGATAATAATGTGGAGCTCCTCACTTACTACACAGTAGTAGAATTTGTTATGTAAGATTTCCTTTCACGATTAATAATTGTTTTATTCCTGAAGGAATTCCTAATAGAGATACATCTCATGCTTAAGCAGTGACAAGCATGCCTACCTCCTCCCTTGAATTGTTAAGGAAGAGATTGTACTGGAAAGATGTCCACCAGTTGCTAGGGCAGAGTCAGTGCCACCAGCTTGATTAAGGGATTTAACTGCTGGGTAACTGCCTCTTCAGTAATTTCTACATCTCATTTAGTTGATTTAACTCGGTTGATTGGTAGATTACTTTTTTGATAGATGCAAGGATGTCATGTCATTTTTTTACATCATCTGGGATGATGTGTGTGGAGGGATTATAGCATTTCTTACACATTAAAATATCAGACTTACTAGCTAGCCTCAAATGATAAGACTATATCCTGATTACTCCCTAGGGTCTTGTAATGGTTGGCATTTCCGCCCACCACCTAGGGGAATCACAAGCAGCGAGGAATATACTTTGTGTAAAAGGTAATGTGAAATTTTTTTTTTTTTTAAAAACCAATGACATGTCTTTGTTGAAAGGATAGATGATTTCCCTTCACTGTTTGAAAAGCAGTAGTTCAGATTTAAAGAAGGTAATATGTGAAGGAAGGACAAGTATAATTATGGAGTAAAGTGGTTTATTTTCAATTTGAAACAGAAGCCATAAAGGTCATTGTCATTATATGGTAAAAGTCAAAACTATATTGATGAGTCATCTTTTTAAAATTGCAAACAACAATGATCTAAATGCAAGTTTGTTAAGACCTTGTTCAGAAGTCTTTTATAATACCAGTTGTATTATTATGGCTTAACTAAATTGCTGGTCTCTTTCTAACGTGAGGTTTATTTAACTAGGTTATGGTGATAGAGGTTGAAATTACTTTATGTATGTTGAAATTACTTCAATTTTATGAAAATTGAAGTAGAGCATAAAATAAAGAAGTGTTAAATTATTTTAATAACTTTTGTGAAAAATATCTATTATCTTCATGTAATCCTAATATAGAATTTATGAGTAATTTATATTTGAAAGACTATTCTTTCAAAATTTAATAATTATGTATTAATGTGGAAAGAATTCTTAAAGTCACACTTAAAGAAGGTGAACTTTTCATTTCCTTTTATAAGAACTAGTAACTAGTGGGATTTTAGACATAAATTCTCAGTACTCTAGATTGCTTTTCATAATGAAGGAAAATATGATATGTATTTTTGATGATGAATAGTCAAAATACACATTTGATTTTGTAGTAGAAATAAGGAAACTAAGTAGTAAATATTGAAAATCCCAGTGTTATCGTTGTGTAGAAGAGTTAGAACACAATGCTATGAAAAGGAAATATGAGAAGATTTATAGTCCAGATAAGAATATGAAACCTTCACTTTTTTAGGGGAATAATTTAAAGCAAAGCAATAGGAAGACAAAGAAATATTGAGCTCCATAAGAAATACTTAAAAGACATATAAATACATGATTTTAAATATATCTTCTGAAGCATAAGAGAATTTAATAAATAGTACAATTTTAAGTTCAAGTATTTTGTTGTACCATCAGGAAAAGCTTTAAAAACATTTACCTTTTCAGATATAGTGAGCCATTTGATAGATGTGTTGCGGTTCATTTGATATTTCTGACTATCCGTATTTTTTCCAGTTGAAAAATTGTCCATGATAACATTTCTCTTGTCTCCATTTTGCTATTTATATCTTAATTTTGATTTTTTCTCTCTGAAGATTTTTATCAATTTTTCAATGTTTTCATTGATTTAAAAACTGGCTTTACCCATAATTTTGCAGGGTAAAAAATATTCATGACCAAAGTCTCTTATTTTTGTCTGTTTTGGGCCACTGAATTGTCAATTGAATTTTCTGGGTCATAAACACTAGGAAATCATTAATTCTGTATCCTTTAAAATGAACATTTATGAATTTACCCCTGGAAGAATTTAATATGACTGTTGAGTAAATTTGTGACTCTAAAGTAAAACTTTTATTTTAAATTTATTTAAAACTTCAAGCACATTAATACAGACCATATTTTAAATGAAATATAGGTAGTAGTAATGTAGAAGAGTGAAAGTACTACATTTGGAGGTGAAAAGTAAAAGCCTTAAAACAATAATTTATATTTTAATTTTTTTGAATGAAATTCCCATATGTGGAAAATTTTCTTTAAGTTTTATCATTTTAGGAAGTACTTGCATGTGAGCCGCTAATCCACTTGATGTCAGTGTTGCTTTAAACAAATTCTGTTCTAAGAGCAATTGTTTAATAGAGCCCTTATGTATCACAAAGGAAACTACTTTTCAATGCCTTTTTTTTTTTTTTTTTGCAGGGGATGGGGGGGGGGCATGAAGATGTTATGCTTTAGGACTCCCTTATTCCAAAGAAAGAGGTCACTGGATATGGGGAGTAACGTTTTGATTAGCTATTGTAAATGTTCTCTAAACCTCTTAAATATAGCCTTTCAGAAGATGAAGTTTGTTCTGAAGATGTTATGCTTTAGGACTCCCTTATTCCAAAGAAAGAGGTCACTGGATATGGGGAGTTACGTTTTGATTAGCTATTGTAAATGTTCTCTAAACCTCTTAAATATAGCCTTTCAGAAGATGAAGTTTGTTCTTGTTATTGAAGAAGTCAGAGGGCAAATGCTGGATATTTATCTTTTAAATGGTTCAACAAAGTGTATGATAAAACAGTCTTTCCTATTCTACTTAGATTTTTAGAGCAAGGAATCTGTAGGTATGGTGCCCAGTGTACTTCAGCACATTCCCAGGAAGAACTAGCAGAATGGCAGAAAAGATATGCTTCACGATTGATAAAATTGAAACAGCAAAACGAGAATAAACAGCTCTCAGGCAGTTACATGGAAACCCTGATAGAAAAATGGATGAATTCGTTATCTCCTGAGAAAGTGGTGAGGAAAATAAATTACATTTTTTTGGTTTGTTTTAAACAATGAACTTGTTTGAGTCTTGACTTTATTATGTACTGTATTTTGGTTTATTTTCTTATCTTCTATGCAAAGAACTTGATTCTGATAAAATGATGTTTATAGTAGCAAAAGTAGACCCATTTGTTAAAATAAAGAGCATAACTAAGCCATTTGTTTGGAGATTTTGCCCTACTGTATTAATAACCATCATTAAGGCAGTTTTTGACTGCTGTTTTTTGGTGGTTCTTATTTTTTTGGTTGTTGTTATTTTCGCTTTATTATATTTTGTTCTTATAAAGACAACCAAAAATAAATGTGTAAAAACCTTGCTTGGAAAACAGTTTCATCAGCATCTTTACTATTAATATTTTATTTACCACGCTAAAAGGTTTTGTTTGTGCTTTTAGCAATAAAAACATAATATTGATTGCTGTCTGTTTTCAGCTTAGTGAATGTATAGAAGGAGTAAAAGTAGAGCATAACCCTGACCTGTCGGTTACTGTCAACACCAAAAAATCTCACCAGACTTGGACTTTTGCTCTCACTTGTAAGGTAGGAATTTTGTGCTAATTAAAAGATATAAATTTTGTTCAATTTTCTCAAAGCTTTTTTGGATGTTTAAACGTCTGTGTTAAAAGAGCGTTGAAAATGTTTTAATCTGAGTACATTTTATGTAGATTCTATCTTGTGCTAAGTATATTTCTATATTTCCATCATTAAAAGTGCAATTTTCTTTTTTGACTTTGAGATAAGATCTTTGTAGATGTTTAGGATGCTTTCTTATTTATTTATTTATTTATTTATTTGGTAAAGGGGTCTTTGACTTGTTGTCTTCTAAACTTGGAACATAGGATGGGGTTCATGGCTTATGATTAACTATTTAAAATCAATGGTTTAATCTGGTGGTTTCAAGATTTTTAAATAATGACAAGTTATTTTTATATTTGATTTGATAAAATCACGAATTCTGTAACAATGGGTTTTTCATGAGACATTTTCTGTAGTGCTTCCCATCTTAAATTATAATAGTCAAAGCTTAAGATGGCAAAGTCAAAAATTTCTCTGAATATGTTCAGTCGAAAAGTTTTGTGTTCTTTTTGGTAGTGTTTCTTCTGCTGTACCGTTTGTATATTGACATAAAAAAAATCTAAGAACTTTTAGCTTCAGCCTTGAACCCAATCCAGTGCTTTCAGAGGAAACTGCCCTCCTATGTAGGCTTCATACTTGAGGCTACATAAAACATTTTTAGGTGAAAGGTATGGAAAATTGGAGGTTGATGATTATACAGGGTGATAACTTTTGCCACAATGAAAGATGAACATGTCACAGAAAGAGCAGGGAGGCTAGTGATGTAGCATAAATGTATAATTTTAACAACTGTTTTTTTTAACCATTCTGATTTTTTTCTTAAACGGCTAATGAGCACAATTTGTATTTTTAACATAATATCTTAGAAGCATGGGAAAATAAATCCCTTATGGAAATATTTTCATTGAAGAGCCCAATTACATACAATTGGATTTTTCACCCCCTTGTACTCAATGAATTATTTTAACTTCCTTGTAGCCTGCAAGAATGCTGTATCGTGTAGCATTGCTTTATGATGCTCATCGTCCTCATTTTAGTATCATTGCAATATCTGCCGGAGATAGTACTACCCAGGTATCACAAGAAGTCCCAGAAAACTGTCAAGAATGGATAGGAGGAAAGATGGCCCAAAATGGATTAGATCATTACGTGTATAAAGTCGGGATAGCATTTAACACAGAAATATTTGGAACTTTTCGCCAAACCATAGTTTTCGACTTTGGATTGGAACCAGTACTCATGCAAAGAGTAATGATTGATGCAGCTTCTACAGAAGGTAATATTTAGACTTTTTTCCCCTGATACGATGTATTAAAAGGCAACATTAAAAGATATGTATTGGCCCCCAAATATTCCATGGATAGGGAGGGAATAATAAGGAAAAAAATCCCAAGTTAATTGACTTATTTACTGTGTAATAGGCTTAGAATGGTTCACATTGTGCCCATATCTCTTCATATAGTAAACAGGCAAAGTTTGCTCTGAGGTTCCCCAAACTTCTGTGAGTAGATGATCAGGTCTGTTTTGGTCTACCAATCTCATTTTAAAATAAGATGATTTTATCACAGTAAAATCTTTCAATATTAGTTTTGGTAGAATATCATTTTAATGGTAATTGTGTACATACCTACAATGTCTATTTCCATGTCCTACTGACTAACTTTGCTGGTATTAGTACGTTATCTGAATGAAAAGTGCTAAGTATAAGCCTTCAGAAGTCATTTTGTACATTCACTAGTGTTAAGGAGACTAAGGTGCCTTTAATAGGATCTGTTCTGTGTTCTTGGGAAGAGGTCCCTGGTTTCAACATGTAAGCACCTGCAGAAGATGATGAATTACTTGGTACATTGTCATATTACTGCCTATACCTAAATTTTATGTCAAGATCCAACAGGACAAGGAAAGGGCATGTTAGCCCACATTTTTTTGGTTCTTGGTTGGATTTATCGGTGCTTTATTTTATTTAATAATCACTAAATATTTATTTGACAAGCACTTCATATAGTAGAGCTGTATGAAACTTGCTGCGGTATTGACCATAACCATATTTCAGAGGATGTTTTTCACTGTGCATTACAATGGCCCATTCATTAGAACCTAGAGGTTGTTTTTTTCATGAGCAAATGCTAGGATTTTATTTTTTGGATACAGTGAACAGCTGGAATTGGTCTGTCTCCCTCTTTACTTTAGCTGCTAGTGAGGTTAAACAACATTTGTGACCAAATTAGGTGATATCTTCTTACATGTGTGCTATTACCCAGACTTCATTTTGCCCTTATTTCCCACTTTGTTTGATCTCTTTTACCTGTTTTTATTCTGTTGTATGTATCTTTGTCATCTTCTCAGTATTCTTTGGAATCAGAATAAGTTAATTTCCGGGGCCGGCCCGGTGGCGCACTTGGGAAGCGCGGCGGCGCTCCCGCCAAGGGTTCGGATCCCACATACAGACCGGCCGCTCACTGGCTGAGCGAGGTGCGGGAGCAACACAGAGGGTTGCGATCCCGTAGCCAGTCCCAGTCCGGTACGGGTGTGACACTGAGGGTTGCGATCCGTGGCCGGTCACGAAAAAAGACAAAAAGGGAAAAAAAAAAAAGAATAACTTAATTTCCATAGCCAAATAGATATGATAGTTAACAAAATAAAGTATTTGGGGCTGGCCAGTTAGCTCACTTGGTTAGAGCATGGTGTTATAACAAGTTCAAGGATCAGATCCCCATACCAGTCAGCCACCAAAAAAAAAAAAGAAAAGAAAAGAAAGTATTTGGTTTATATCTACTAGAGTAGGAGTTGGTAAATTATTTCTGCAGGGGGTCAGATAGTAAACATTTTAGGTTTTGCAGGGCAGATAGTCTCTGTTGCAACTACTCAGCTTTGCATTGTGTAAACAAATGGGTGTGACTGTGTCCTAATAAAACTTGATTTTCAAAAACAGCAGTGGGCTGGATTTGGCTTGCATGCTGTAGTTTGCCTACCACTGTACTAGTAAGTTGCTTTTAGAGACCAGAACTTGAGAACTACTAAGAAGCATCCTTTTTAAATCATAAGGAGATTTAAATCATAAAGAGAGACCAATATGCATCTGTTCCCAAATATAATTATAAAAGGATATTCTTGGCTTATATGTGAGTAGTATTTTAAAAGTTTGCTTTTAGATTGGTGGTTTGTAACTCCTAACTCATTTTCCCATAGAAATAGCTTTGTAAGTGTTGTCAAGAATCCATACTAGTTAATAAAAACCTATTTAACCAAATAAAATGTTAAATGTCTGCGATAAAAAGTAAAGGAAAATGGCACTGTTAAAACATGATAATGAGAGAAGATAGAGATAAAGAGGACTTCAGAGCACTTTCACGGACTTGAGAAGAGTGAGGGTACTTGGATTACTTTTACCTCAGATGTGTGCTACTTTGCCAGTTGGAGAAAAAGAGCAGTGGACAAAATTCAGAGTCAAATCCTGATTTTCTGCTTATTATCTGTGTGACCCTGGGCAGAGTACTTAATGTCTCTGAGCTTCATGGGGAAACATCTGTAAAATGGATCTAGTAATATCTGTCTTAGAGAATTATGAAAACTAGACATAAGCCTTGCACAACATCAGGCTCATAGGAGGCATGAAGTAAATAGTAGCTATTATTTTTATCATTAGCTATGATTAGGATAATTTCTGGCTTAAACACTGAATGAAGAAAGTAGGAAGAAAGAGGGGTTTTGCCTTTTTTTTTTTTTTTTTTTTTTAAATGAGGACTGGGACTAGGGTGCTAGCAGGGGGCTAAAAAGCATATTTACATACCCAAGCTCTATGGCACCTGCAGATGGCAGGAGAATACCATGTAGTGGTTTTGAAAGAGAAGTTGTACAAGATGACTGAGTCCTAAGCCTGGTAACTGGAAGAAATAAGGAGGCTCCTTTCTGATGTTTCCAATATATCAGTTTGAAAATATAATACATTTCATTCAGATATGTAGAGGGAGTTAATACACACAATGATTCCCTCCCCCATTTTTTTATAATGCTATGCCCTCCCCATTTTTATAGTACTATTCTCTTTTTTAGTGACCTCTTTGTAATATGGTATCTTTGCCTGTTTTCCATTAAGTAAGATTTTATCTTTAGGTAGTTGTATTATGGAAAATAATTTTTAAAAATTAAGCATTTTCTTGAATTAATTTGGAAGCCTTAAAAGAATTTCACATGGTAAAATTTGTTTTTCAAGGACAGAAGAAAAATAAATATCGCGAGAGAACAATATAAAATGTACAAAATGTATTTTCTGATATAAAGGCTGAAGTTAGAGGTCTGAGGAAAGAACAAGGTGCATGTAAGTGGAATCCAAGTCTTGAAGAACATCAGAAAGGGAGTGTTCAAGTTCTTGTACATCCTAGCTGTTCAAGTTAGCATACAACCATTTTGGTCTTCCTACTAAAGCTGATTTTATTGTTATTATTTTAAAAAAATATTTTGAACATTATAAAAAGAAAAACTTAAATCCAGGTTTAGGCAAGCTAGATGACATTTGACTAACTTTTTTTTTTTTTGGTCATTACTCCAATTAGCTGAACTGTTGTGCTAATTTTTAGTTCTTTGATAATTTTTCTACTCTTAAAAATGATATCATTGAACATCGTACTGTTTTTAAGTTCGTGAAATTTTTATTACACGACTACTTTTGTTTGAGTGTGATTGTGTAGAGAGTCCTAACAGAATTCTGGAGAAATGAAAATAGGATGCTTCTGTCTTAGTACTAGTGTTTTTGATTATTACAGCAGAGTTCTTGTCAGCAAGAAATTTGAGGGAAAAAACTTTGTTTATATCAAATCATCCTTTTATAAAACATTCTGAGACAATAAAAATGTAAAATGGCAGTGTCCTATTTTATATCTTTTCCTGGAATACTTGTGTAGACAACATTCAGAGACATTGAGAGCAAGGTAACTATTTTGTTAAATAGTGACAATTTGACAGCCTGCCTAATTTGGCCTCTAGCCTTAGCCAAATCATTTTTGGATCTTCTTTGGCCTGGAACTAGGAGAAAAGTGTCATTCCAGGTACAAGTTGGCCAAATGCAGTTGTGAATTGAATTAGGTGTGGGCTGTATCATGTTTCCATACAGTTCTGATGATACTATAAAGTATAATATAATTTGATTTCTGTACACACAAAGTGTGTGATAGTGTGAAACTGGAATTTGAATGGGAATTTTCTTTATTCTTATCTCTTCTTCCATTTGATTGGCTGTTCCTTGTTTAAGCAAGTTTTTGTCCTTAAATTAATGCTGGAAACATGTATTTCTCTTCCATAAAGTTATAAATTTGGACCGTGCTAGGCCATCTATTAGCTCAATGTTTCCTAAACTGCGTTCCACTGAAGTTAATAGTAGCACCTATGGTAAAGAGTTCCATTACAATTAGGTTTGGAAATGCTACATGCTTTATTTCCCTCTTAGAGAGTCAAGGTGCACCTCAGTGTCTGTCAAACTGATTTGATCATGGGACTTAGTTATATTAATGTATTACTCATTGAAACTTAAAATCCAGTAATGTAGCAGACATTTATATTTCTCTAATTCATTGTTCAGTATTGAACTAAAACTCCTACTATAGTTAATTCAAATTTGAATTGTGGGGGGAAAAACTCCATAGGTTTTTCTTACAATATTGTCATGATACCTACAGCATCCAGACCTTTTCTATTTGTAGGCTATGTTGAATTTTTGTTTCTCTAGTCATTCTATGGCAGTCCTGCAAACTGTTGAGGAAATGTGTATAACTTTAACTTTGCTTTTTTCAGTTTTTTCTCTTATTGATGAGATTCACGTTCAGAAAAAGATACTGTGTACTGCAAAATTTTTTTGGACTAAAGATATGCCTCAAAAATGTGCAGCAAAAGGCATCTACAAAGGAAGGAAGTTTTCTTCTTGCTCAGAAAACGAACTGCATTGTACCCTTTATATTGCAACTTCGATTAATGGAAAATTTTTACTTGACAAAATTGATTTAGAATTCTGTTTTGAATGTCTGGGAGCAACATGATGAAAATTAACTCTCATTTTTAAATCTGAAAACTTGATATTATACATTCCTCTACTTTGAGTCTAGAAGTATATGTTAACATTAACATTAACATTTAGTATGACTTAAAAATTATTCCCAACTCCCAAAGTTGTTGGTAAAATAAGAACATGTTATATGTTTATATCTATGTAATATTATGTGATCAGAAAAGTAATGGAAAATAGATTTAAAAAATAGTTTGTCAATAAAAGATCAACGCATGAATAGAAGCATGTAAAAATATGAAGTGTTCTTTATGCATTACTCTGCTGTTTTAACTTTTTGTTAGCCTCTTGAAGAGAAAGGAAACAAGGACAGACAACACGGACAAGCTAAGAGATATTCATCTTGCTTCTGTGTAGCAGTTTTGGTTAAAGAAAGGATAACTGAAATGAATAGCTGAAGTGGTAGTTTGGGATTACTTTGAGATTTTATTTTATTGTTTATTTGGACAGTCAAGTCTTATAAAGCCGCAGACCAAAATATTTTCTAAGGAAGAATGTGGTATCTGATTTTGGAATTGGGAGGCATTTCATCTCATTCTCTTAAGTACTGGACAAATATAGCTGTTTTTAATAAATCTCATATTGAATACCCATTTATCGCATGCCTCCTATGTGTCAGCCCTTGCGCTGGGTACTTAAAACACTAGATTTTTTTTCCCCCTTACTTTCTTCTTATCCACTTTCCAGGTCCTATTAAAGGTATTTTTCAAGTCTGCTTTACTACATACTTGAAGACAAAGTAAATCTACCCTTTGGATGCTTTATTAGAGTAGTAATGTGGCTGGCACAAGAGCAGTGCTATTCTCAGTATCAGAAGGGAGAGTGTATCTTGTGACAGACTAGTTATTTCGGCCTTGAATTCTATTTTTGACAGTAGCAGCCTTTTCCTTATGTATCTTCAAAAGGTATTTTCTAATTATCTTCAACTTTTTCTTATGGATTTCTCTTAAAATATAATTCTTGCCTACCATATCTCAGGGTAACAAGTTCCATAGGTTTATAATTTCTGTCAGATTTGCTTTGAGATTTATTATTATAGGAGTTGGTTAAGTCAGTGTGAAACTCTCCCTACATGGTTTTATGAATATTGATCTTAATCTGTTCACTTTCGATCTTTCTAGAGTATTTTTTACTTTAGCCTAGTGTAGGTTGGAGAAAGTGCATAAGGATGAACTGGCTCGGGCTGCCCTGGGTTGTGCATGTCTGGGCGAGATGTTTGCAGTTACGCATGTGTTGCAGGTGGGGTAACAGCGAGCCCCAGGAGTAGTCATGTCCATTGTCCCCATGGAGGGACATCACCTCCCTCCTCTATTTAAAGAGGCACTCTCGAGACCTAATGACCTTTAAGCGCTGTAAGTTAAGTGGGTCATTAAACAGGTTTAATAAGTTTCTTCTTACAGGTGAGAGGAGTGGAGGCAGAAGTTTGACTGAAGTTCAGATGAAGTAGGGAAAGAGAAGTCGTTTTTACAAAATGTATCCTTAGTAGTCACTGGCCATGGTTTTTTTTTTGGAAATCTGAGTTAATGACTTAAATCAGTAGTTTTACAAACTTTTCGATGGGGGCACATGTGGATTTTTTTCCGGATTCTTTATTCTCTCCTAGGTTTTCCCTCCCCTGGACTATGTATATATTTTGAAAAAATGGAATAAAATTTAACATTGTTTGAGAATAGTTTTGAAATAGCGCTACCTTCTGAAGACATTTTTCAGAGTTTCATTAAATCAGGCTATAGGAATCACAGCACTATATAGATAAAATGAGAAAAACAAATACTATTATTGCTTATACACTTTTTCTAAAAAGCCTGAATACTTCTAGCCCGGAGTAGAAAGACTCTCTATAATTCGGTTTGCATATTAAATAGGTGATACAAAAAGCTTTTTCAGAGGAAAGTTCTACGGTTTTAGGTTGGTTATTGTTGCAGCTACTTAAACATTAGTTAGGAATAACTAGTGACTTTTTATTTATTTATTTTTTTTTATTTAACTTCGTATAGCATACATTATACGAAGTTATACGCGATCTTAACCCTTGACTTGGTGTTGTCAGCACCACGCTCAGGCAGTGAGCGAACCGGCCATCCCTACATGGGATCCGAACCCGTGGCCTTGGTGTTATCAGCACCGCACTCTACCGAGTGAGCCACAGGCCGGCCCACTAGTGACTTTTTAAAGTGTGTGAACATAATATTGATCTAGCATAGTCTGAATTAATTTAATTTAAATAAAGTAAAATTTAAAATAAAATTGTGAAATATAATTCTCCCACCCCAAAGAGTAATTAGCATTCTTTTACTACATACTGAATAAATTCTTCAATATTAGGTAGATTAAGTTTTTATTTATTTCTTAAGAGCTGGTTATTTGGTTTGTGTCTGTAACATTGCTATTTCTCTTTTTGGCTTTTGAATTAAGGATGAAAATTATGTACACCTTTGCTATTTTGATTATAATAAACATCTGTTCTTGTTTATTTGTTGGTAATTTGTTTTAGGAGTGTTGGCATCTGTATAACTTAAATACTTTTGTAGCTGTGATCTAATGAATGATAGGCAAGGCTCAAGTTTAGAGTGATTTAGGAAGATATGTGGTTAGTTTACTTTAGGAAACTTCTCTTTATAAGGTTATTGCAAAAACGGACAATTAATCAAGAGCATTTTAAAAGTGCAAAGTTTTAATGAGCAGATCATCTTTACATCTTGATAATTATAGTTGTATTTATTTTGCCATTTGAGAAATAATAAAACTGTCATATAAAAATACCTTTTCAAAGAGGAAAGGTTGGAAATTAGGGCTTTTGTATTTTTGGCTCTTTTTATTAAGATGTTAAGATAGGCTATTTGTTACTATTGAGAAATTCTCTTGGTGAATACCTATTCTTATATATTTATAATGTATATGTAACATTTAAATGTTGCAAAATTGCTCATTAAGCAAGACATGGCAATTATGGGTGTGTTCTCATTTCAAAGGTAGTTTAGTATCATTTGTCTTTGTACTTTGGAGACTAACTGATCTTTGTCTAAACTTTTTATTATTTCTTTCTAAAATTTTAACTTGAGTTATGAAATCATCTTTCCAATTATGTTAAAGCTGGATCTTGGCCTAATGAGCCAGTAAAGCAACTTTTTTTCCTTTAGTTAAGTTTCATTTTTATAGGTTTATGCACATGTCGCCCAATAGAAAAATAATATGCACTACAGATAGAGTGAGCTGACCCAGTGCTCAGAGTTTGTTATGATGTGTTTGACCCTGTGCTGGTATTGTGCTGTATTCTTTTCAGCGATGTCAGAACTTAACAGTCATTCATTTTTCTCATTGTGCCCTACTTACAGTATAATTTAACTGAGACTAAACTGGATTTTTCAGAAAAGACATTAGAATGGCATTGTATCACATTTTAATGAAGAATTAGCAGTGTTTTACATGAGTATTTTCTAAAAGATTTTCATTTGTAGTTAAGTTGACTTTCAGATAGTTTCACTATACCACACAAGAAAAGGTCTAACCATTCAGTTTTTTTATCTTCTCTTTTTATAATGGCACTATTATTGGCAGTAGGAGGAGAAAAGTGATTATCACCTGATAAAATTTACATTATGAGGAATTTATCATATCTTCTTCCTGCAAATCAGATTTCTTTTGACTGAAAAGTTCTTAATGTTAATCTGTATTTTTAAAATGGTAATAACTTTCTGGTGTGTCCTAGCCTGATATAAAAATATATATATGTTTTACATTCCTATTAATGTTATTTGTTAAAATAGACCAAAAATTTTCTGATATGGGGAAAATAACACTGTCAATGAGTTTTTGTATTGTTCTGTTTTTAAGACTTTTGGTTCTAGCATATAAAATTTTCTTACCAAAATATGTAATGAATTATTTGAGAAATTTAATGTTGTGTTCCTTTATAAATGTGTTTTTTGTTTCCATTTAGATCTTGAATACCTGATGCATGCAAAACAACAGCTAGTAACCACAGCTAAGCGTTGGGATTCTTCTTCTAAGACTATTATAGATTTTGAACCTAATGAAACTACTGACTTGGAAAAGAGCCTTCTTATCAGATACCAAATTCCTCTCTCTGCTGACCAGCTATTTACCCAGTCCGTTTTAGACAAATCATTGACCAAGACCAACTATCAGTCAAGGTTGCATGACCTTCTTTATATTGAGGAGATAGCCCAGTATAAAGAAGTCAGCAAGTAAGTTTCTTTAGAAACTCTTCTTTTTTTTTTTTTATCTCCCCTTTAGATGGTATTTTTAATTTTTAAAACAGAGGTATGCCTAATTGAAGATGGGTAGTAAAATCAGTTGTTATTCGATAGTTGTATTCTGTCTTTAAATGAAATACTTTTTTCTTAAGGCAAGAACTATGTTCTGCTCATCTTGGTATCCCTAGTGTTAGTACATAGTTCATTTCCACAAGACCTTACTCAGCGTCTGCTAGGGGGTATAAGCTCTTTGCCATGTTGTGGAAGTAGCAATCAGTGGTTCCTGCTCTTAAAGAGCTTTCAGTCAGTGGGAGTTATAGCAAGCACTCAATGAATATTTGTTGAATAGATGTACAAAAACCGAAGGAGACCACATATTTTGCAAGTTAAGAATGAAATGATTTAGATCTTCATGAAAACCGTTTGACAGTAATAAATAGCTTTATAGCAGTTTATAAATGCTTTAACATATTTTACACTTTATTCATATGCCACAGGTTAAGATCAAGTGCTTACATCAAAAGCTTATTCGAATCATTTTGGGAAAAATAATCTTAGAAATGAAAGTTTAAGTGAAGGAAGATGTTAATGAAATTACATTTGGTAGTAGCTTTCCACTTTTTAGATAAAATGAGGATAAGCCTTAAAAATTGAACTGCAATTATGAGACATTAGTACATTTTTATAGGTAGTTTTCCTTTTAAATACAGCCTAACCAACATAGTTTTCTTCTCCAAGCTACCTTATTAGTATCTTATCATTAATATTATTAATAGATACTGAACACTCACTATGGGCGTATTCAGAAAAGTAAGAGTAAGTGACAAGTTGAAGATACCTTGTATTATTCTGTTTATAGATAAAATGATCTAACTTTTGAAAGTATCTAATTTATAAAATTTACAATGTCAGATAGAATATATTACTCGTATATTTTTCATTATTCTAAGACTTTAAACCATGGCCCATTGATGGTCTGTTAAAAGGCTTCCATCAGTTGTGTCTGTTCTTTTTTTTTTTTTTTTTATTTTTATTTTGTCAATATACAATGTAGTTAGTTATTGTGTCCCATCACCGAGTTGTGTCTGTTCTAATGACATAGTTATTAAATAGCAAGGATAGTGGCTTGTATCATGTACATTATTCACATTATTAGTGTGCATGTATATTAGTTACATTATCATAGATTTCTTTTCCTTAGGAAAGAACACTATAACAAATCATAAATATTGAGATGAAATAGAGCTTAAAAGCTTACCAGAATCTTGAAGACTATTTTTGAGGATTGTATAAGAAATTAAGAAAAAATTATATATTATATATTTGTTTAATAGGTTATTAAAGTTTATAAATCATTACATTAGCTCAGAACTTACAAGTACAAAAAAAAGAACTTACAAGTAAAGACCAAAAAAGCTTATGGATTGTTATATTAAAAGTCTTTTAAAAATGGAAACTTGTCTGAATGGAAAAACGAAGAAACCCTACAAAGCTGTGGAGTTCAGATACCGATCAAGAAACCAAATGGTTGAAAGTTTACTCTGAGAACTCCTTGCAAGGGCTTTCCATGCCGATATAAGAGTGTCTAGAAAATATCAGCAATATGAAATGAGCACTAGTGGCAAACTAAGTTGGTTTGATATTTCCGGAGAGCTGTTTGGTAGTGTATATGAAGGACCTGTAGAAAGTTTGAAGCTTCTGGTGTAGTAATTCTACTTATGGGGATCATCCTGAAGAAATAATCAGAGGTGAAGATAAAGACGTCTGTACAGAAATGTTTTTCAAAGAGTAGTGAAGAAAGAGCTGGCCAGTTTGCTCAGCCGGTTAGAGCATCGTGCTGATAACACCAAGGTCAAGAGTTCAAATTCCTGTACTCGTAGCTGCCAAAAAAAAAAAAAAAAAAAAATACCAGTAGTGAAGAATAAGTTAAATCAATTATGATATAGCTGTATGATTGAATGTTATATAATTATTGAAATTATATTCTTGAAGAATTTTTAAGCCAAAAAAAAAAAAAAAAAAAAATACCAGTAGTGAAGAATAAGTTAAATCAATTATGATATAGCTGTATGATTGAATGTTATATAATTATTGAAATTATATTCTTGAAGAATTTTTAATATAGTAGAGATGCTAGTTTTAAAACCTTACCTATTGCCATTCTAATTTTGTATATACATTATATATATACACACACACACAAACATGTTTTATAAAAATATTGGAAGGAGTTATAACAAAGTGTTCTGGTTGGTGGAATTACAGGTGGTGTCTATGTTATAATAGTTTTTGCTACTTTTGAAATATTCTACCTTGACCACACATTACTCTTATAATAAGAAAAAGCAAACAGAAACATAAAGGAACCTGACACATCATCAGTTACAACACTTGATGCTCGTGATATAAAAATGTTCTTAGGTACGGAAAGAAGAGATTATGGTAAGACAGAATGTAGACAGTGTGGTAAGACAGTGGTAAGATAGTGTATAGTCTTTTTATAGGAACGTGAAAGCTTTTTCTATTTTTTTAATGTTTAAAATTAAATCATAGTTATGAACTCAAACAGGGATATTTACAAATTGAATATAAATCCGTAGGATCATTTTTGATATGTTAAATATGCTTAACTGTACAAGAGGCTTGAAGGATCTTAAAGACAGAAATGATAATTTATTGCTACAAGTCTAACATGTGACAAGTACTTACTGTGCCAGAGAATTTTGGAAAATTTCCAGTGATACTCTTATCCAAAAATAACCCTGGATGTGAAGGCTGGTAAATTAGACTTCTGAATTTGGCTGGCCTGTAAAATTTAGTGAAGTACAGTATAGAACTGGTACATGTACAAAGAAGCAAATCCTATTAGTAATTAGAAATCTCAGAGGGTGTCTGTAAGTGGGTAGGCAAGGGACAAATAACAAACATAGATTGTAAAGATTTTCAGAAGTCTTAGACAAAGTTTCATATGCTGCTCAAAAAAGTTCACTTTGCTTTCTCCTTCTTCACCCTTTAAACTTAATAGTTATGTACATTTTAATGTTACCTTGAAGTTAATGCACATCTGATTGTTAATTCTTTAAGCACGAATAACATAACCAAGATATATTTAAAAAATGGATTTTGGGGAGGCCTATATGTAGCTACTAAACTATGGTCTAGTGCCGGGCTCAGTAAACCTTTGCTCTAAAGGGCCAAATAATAACTATTTCAGGCTTTGTGGACTCCATACAGTCTCAGTCACCTATCTTCTTTGTTTTATTTTGTTCCTTTGTAAAATTCACTCGTAGTCAAGGGCTATACAAAAACAGTCTAAAGGTTGGATTTGGCCCTTAGGCCATGCTCTAGTGTGTCTTATTGGGTTATCGTGCTTGTCCGTTCAATACCAGTCATCAGAGTAAACCCAAGTCACCATTAGAATTGTGAAAGATATTTTGTTGTGGTTTGAGACCCAGTTTAGAGGTAGAAAACAATGGTGTGCGTAAATGGACTCATCTCTGTAAATGACTTGGATGTGAATTGACAGTAATGTGTGCATATTTCTGTATACACTAAAATATGCTTCTTTGTGACATTGTAGTCAGACCAACACACAATTGTTAGGATATTTCCCAAGGTCCGAAGAGTATATTGGTCATTGATGAACTTTGACAATTTAAGCAGTGTATTACTAATCATGAAAGTAGTATCAAGGGAATTCATACCGGTTTTTTACATTCTGATGATAAGTATTAGACTATAGCTTTTACACAGTCATCTTAGCATTCTTTCCTTGAAAGTAGATTGAATGAAAGTTCTTAGGATTAGACAATATATTTGGCTTGAGGCTGCATTTAGTAATCGAGTTTAACCTTTTTTCTTTTTTAAAAGAGATGGTTTTTCAGAGCAGTCTGGAAACTAAGATTTCTTATATTAAGTTTTAGTGTGAGATGTGTGTGGGGGGTAAGGATACTACTACATTTCATTTCATTTATGTTTTAGAAAATGCTTCAGAGTTCTTTTGAGATTCAGTTTTGTTTTGTTTTTTAAATACTTATCCTCAGCCATATGTTCATGTGCGTTCAATAATGATTCTACCTTGAAGTGAAATCTGTTTGATTATAAGAGAACATTTTCAAAAGAAATGGACTTTAGCTGAAGCTGTTGTGTTCATTAAACTGTGCAGTGGTATGCTTCATCTGGTGGTTCGTGCCTGGCTTCTCCGAGCTCACAGCTGGCAGGACAGTCTAGTGTGGGGATGCACATTTCATCATTAAGATGGGTGCAGCTTCTATTGGTTATACCTCAGTACTGTTGCTCTGCTGCAGTAAAACCAGGGATTGTCTTCTTATTTTGGTTGATTTTTGTTGTTCTTATAGCGAAATTGCATGAAGTGAAATCCACTACATAGCTTTGAAATTTTCTTAAAGTTACAATCAAGAGATATGTTATAATTATTGTGAAAGTTGATAGAGCCATATTCTCATTAGCTAGAAGTGTGGTTTTAGATTCATTGAAAATTCGATTGGCTATTATTCTGCCATTCCCCAAAAGGTTAGGAATTATGTAAGCTTTAATTAAGATTGATTTCAAAATGTGGCATGCAACAGTGGAAAGATGGTTTTTCTTCTTAAGAAATCCCTTTGTTAATTGTGGGATAAATTTTGTATTTTAAGGTATTTCCGAGTTAGTACATTTCAAAAAAATGCATAAGTGCATATTATTTTAATAGTTAAGAGAGATTACTAATATAATATTAGTTTTAGCCTACTAATCTTGTAGAAAAATTAAATATTAGTAGCTGTAACTTCTACTAGCAAGTCTATAATATTTGCATTTTGAAAATGTGATGAATCTTCTGTGGGAAAAGCTGTATTTCTTTGGGTTTTTATTTTCTAGTGTCTCTATCTCAAGAGTTTTGTTGCAGGGCACAGCTAAATGTTACAAGAGGATTCTTTGTTGCTCTAAAACTGTGAGGTTAATTTTTCATACCTGCTGAATTGTGATCAAGT